CAGGTACCTGTGTCCTGAATAAACCTCTTGCTGTTGCAACCCAAAGGCCGTGACTTGTCCTCCGTGGTTTCACTCTTACATTATAAAGACTGTAACATCCTTACATCATACATACCTGTACATGTTCCCTGTTATTAAAGATGGGTCAGTGAGATGGCTTAATAAGTAAGGACACTTGCCGCCAACTCTGACCATTTGAATTTGGTCCCTGGAACCTACATGGTGGAAGGAAAGAACCAACTCCCACAAGCGGTCCTCTGACCTATGCACACACACATACATGCACACGCATGCACACACACACAATAAATATACTAATTTTTTAAAGATGGACATTTTCTCTCTGCTTAAAGGCTTTGTTTAAAAATATTTTCCTTTTAGGCTGGAGAGTTGGCTCAGCAGTTAAGAGCACTGGCTGCTCTTGCAGAAGACCCAGGTTTGGTTACCAGCACCCACAAGGTGGATAACAACTGTTCATAATGCCAGTTCCAGGGGAATCTGATGCCCTCTTCTGACCTCCAAGGGAATTGCAACACACAAGTGCACTTACATACATACATGCAGGCAAGATACTCATACACATAAAAATAATAAATATGGAGCTGGAGAGATGGCTCAGCAGTTAAGAGCCATCTGGCTGCTCTTGCAGAGGACCTGGGTTCAATCCCCAGCATGTACGTTCAATTCCCACATGGCAGCTAATAACTGTCTATAACTCCAGTTCCAGGGGATCCAATGCCTTCCTCTGACCTCCACAGGCATTGCACGACATAGGTACACTTACACACATGCAGGCAATACATGCATATGCATAAAATATTTTTTAAAATAATAATAAATATATATGCCTTTTATGCCTTAGCAAGTGCCCAGATCAATGCATTTCCTTGATTCCACATGACATGTGATCCTCCCACATTCACACACATGCTCCCCAAGCTTCTGCCAGGATCAACTGGCAAAATCCTGCAACTACTTCAGTGCACAAATATATTAAATAAATAAATATAAACATAAAAAATGTTTTATAAATAAATATGCCTTTTATGTTTTAATGAGAATTAGAGACATTTAACCAGAACAGATATCATTCTTTCAGCTCTAGACCAAACAATCAAAGGCTTTCCTCTTGATTCTTCAGATTGACCAACTAATGTAAAAATCTGTGCTGCCAGGCACAGGCAAATCTTCCATTCCCTATTCTCAATCCTGAGTCATGCTAGCTTTGGAACCCAGAACCACTCAAAAAACTCAAATACCCTGGGTATTACTCAGCAGCATATTCAAAATTAAAGAGCCAGGCATGGTGGCACATGCCTTTAATCCCAGCACTCAGAAGGCAGAGGCAGGCAGATCCTCTGTGAGTTCGAGGCCAGCCTGGTCTACAGAGTGAGTTCCAGGCAGCTGGAGCTACAGGGAGCCAGTTAACTGGCGAAGCCTTAAGTTTGAACCCTGGCACTCATATCATGGACTGACTCCTGCAAGTTGTCCTCTGACCTCTACATATGTACCATCTGTCCTCTACACATGTCCACATGCCCTCACATATACAAACTCATGTATATACATTTATAAAAGTAAAAGCACAATGTGTTTTGAAAAAATAGCAAATGCACACAAAATTTCCACATTGAATTTAATGATGGTTTCAGGATATTTAGCTATCTTAACCCCTTTTTCCTAATCTGTTTGTGTCTGTCTGTATAAAGGCACACAAGGTGACATCACATGTTTTTCTGAGTGTCTCTCCACTTTGTGTATTTCAGATGTTTGTATGCATGCTTGTGTACATGTGGGTGTGTGATTGCACAATGTGTGTGCATGTATATACAGAAGCCAAGGACCCACAAACAATTTTCAGGAGTTTGTTCTCTCTACCATGTGGGTTCCAGGAATCAAACTCGGGTTATCAAACTTGGCAGCTAGCACCTTTACCTATTGAGTCACCACCTCAGCCTTCACCTTTTTTGGGAGGATAAGGGCAGGATTTTTGATACAGGGTCTCCTGGAACTCACTATATAGACCAGGCTGGCCTTGATCTCACAGAGATACACCTGCCTCAGCCTCCCAAGTGCTGGGACTACCACACCCAGCTCCACCTTACTTTTTGAGGCAGGGCATCTCACTGAACCCAAAGCTTATCAAATGGCTAGGGTGACTAGTTCATCAGTAAGCCCAGGGCATCTGCCTTTCTCTACCTCCCAATATTGGGGTTACAAACATGCCTGGCTTTTACCTGGGTATTGGGGATCTGAACTCAAGTTCTCCTGCTTTCCAACTAAGCCATCTCCCCACTCTGGTTTCCTAGTCTTAAAAATGGATATCCACTATGGTTTTCTAAGAAACAAAATGAAATACAGTACTGTCCCTAACAAAAAACATTCAGTACTGTCCCTAACAAAAAGAAAGCTGATGAAAAAAGTATTTTTACAGTTTTTCTTTAGACAGTTTGGCACTAGAAGCATTCCTAAGCCTAAACAGTCTAAATCAGACTTATTCAATATAGTTAGGTCATTAGCCACATGTGACTACTTAACCATTTGAAATGTGGCTTGTTGCAACTAAAAACTCTTTTACATGTAAAATGCACAAAGACTGTGAAAACAACACACTGTGAAAACTATACACTGTACATGAAAAGTTATAATACTTTGAATATACTGGTTAGATAAAACTTGTTTAAAAGAAAAAAATCACAGGGGGAGCCGGGCATTAGTCCCAGCACCTGGGAGGCAGAGGCAGGCGGATCTCTGTGAGTTGGAGGCCAGCCTGGTCTACATAATGAGTTTCAGGCCAGCTCCAGCTATCCAGCTACAGGACGACTCTATCTCAAAACAAAAATTAAAAAAAAAAAACAAAAAAAAAACGGGGAAAGCCCAGCACAGTGGCACATGCCAGCACCTGGGTGGCAGAGGCAGGTGAATCTCAGTGAGTTTGAGGCCAGCCCAATCTATATACGGAGTTCCAGACCAGCTGGGGCTACATAGTAAGACCCTGTCTCAAAAAACAAAACAAAACAAAACAAAAATCGTGAAGGGGGAGGCTAGGTAGATAGCTCAGTAAAGTGCCTGCTGTGCAAGCATGAAGACCTAGGTTATACTCTCCGGTACTCATGTAAAGGCATGAGCAGTTATCTATGTCTGTAACCCTAGTACTAGGGATGAAGAGGAGACAAGAAGATCCCAGGAATTCCTGGCTGCTCTAGCCAGTTGATGAGCTCTGGGTTCAGTACGAGAGCCTGTCACAGTTATAGGCGAAGACACCCAACAAAGACTTCCAGCCTTCACACACTTCACACACACAAATCACAGCAAGGTGAAGCACTTGTGAGGTTGAAAGCAGGAGAATCAGAAATTCAGGGTCATCAGCTACACAGTGAGTTCAAGGCCAACCTGAGCTAAAGGCCCTATCTGAAAAAGATTTTCATTATTGTGTTTCCCTCTCATATTTTTGTGAGAGAGCCTGATATATACTTTGACTTCCATTTGGTAAGTATACTCTTAGCCATGAATTCGACTGCTTTATCATTTATCCTGAGTTGAGGAAGCTGGTGAGCGACCTCTCAATCTTAAGAAACTCAGGGCCGAGAAAACTCGAAATTGCTACCAATACAACAGAGATGTCTTGAGGGAAAAACCAGGGTTGTCACCCAGGGGTGTCCCTAAAGAAAAGAAGAGGAACAGCGCGAGCTCCACGGATCTGAGAGCTTACAGAGAGGAGCCCACGGGAGGGGGGCGGGGCCACGGAGGGGCGGGGCAGCACCGGGGCGTACCTTAAGAATCCCCCTCATCTTCGCCAGGAAGGGGCGGAACTCCTCTGCTGGCACCTCCGGATAGAGCTGGCTGCGCAGAAGCTCCTCTGTGATGCCCGAGTGCCCATGGAAGGCGTTCTGCGCTAGGCCGTTCAGCAGCCCGCTCAGGGCCTTGCTGCTCTCCACCTCGCCCGCCATTGCCTGTGGTGGTCCCGCCCTCGGCAGCTGTTGCAGCTTCGCTACGGTGGCCGAGATGGTCCTTAATAATCTGGCAAATGCCGTCGTTAAACCGGGTTACTCCACGACTAGGTGTAAGCAGTTATCGATTTTGCTCTGCCAAAACCTATGCTATTAGGCTGCCACAAGAGCCAAATCCGCTCACTTCCCAGCAGGGTCACTATGCTTCCGCTGAGATCGCTTGGTGGGGATACCTTGACTGAGTTGTGTTCCGTTTTACTCTAGGATGGCCATATCTCATTCCAGAACTTGCAAACCAATTAACAGGACCATTCACATCTAATCTCTGCCACATCCTTACCTGTGGACCCTCTGCCCTCCAAAATGTAGCAATATCCTGATAACATGATTCCTTTGCTTACATTAATATTTTTTTATATACATGAATTTTGTCTTAGCTATGCCATTGGTCTGATCCAAAATTCCTTTCTATAACAAATATTTTGTCAATGCCATCTTTTTATTCTTGAAATGAAATATATTAGTAAGTCCCTAACCTACATAATATTTTTTTAAAAATCTTATTATTCAGCCATAAAAAGGAATGAAGTACACTGATACATGCTACAGTATGGGTAAACCTTAAAAACATGCTGAAAGGGGAGGCAGAGAGGTAGCTCAGACTCAGCATGTACTGCTCTTGCAAAAGGCTCGAATTTGTTCTCAACACCTACATCAGGAAGTGCACAGCCACTGGTAACTGCAGCCAGCTCCAGGGGGATCCTACACTGCTGGCCTCCATGAGCACCTGCATAAAGCAATATGGCGAAATGGTTAGGTGTGTCCAAGCTGAACAGTGGAGAAATGGATAGTTGTTGTTACTCTTTACTCTTCTGCCTATTTCAAAGATGTCAAAAATTTAAAAGAGGACTGGGAGTGTAGCTCAGTGCAAGCAGTCCTTTAGCATGTATGTAGCCCTGGCTTCAATCCGTGGCACACACACACACACACACACACACACACACACACCTTTAAAAATAATTTAAGGGCCTGGAGAGATGACTCAGCAGTTAAAAGCACTGACTGCTCTTGTAGAGGGCCTAGGTTCGATTCCCATCACCCACATGGTATTTAACCATCTGTATCCAATTCCAGGAGAATTTGACACCCTCTTCTGACCTCCTCGGGCATTGCACAACATGTATGCAGGCAATACACTCATAAACACAGGAAAAAAAAATTTAATTAAAAAGATAAATAATTTAAAAATAAAACTTTTAAAAACTATACTAAATGAAAGAAGCCAGACACAAAAGGCCAGATACTGGACAATCTCATTTATATAAAATGTATAGACTAGGGGCTGGAGATATGGCTCAGCAGTTAAGAGCACCGACTGCTCTCGCAGAGGACCTGGGTTCTATTCCCAGTACCTACATGGCAGCTATGAACCGCCATGAACTCCAGTCTTTTTGACTGGCTATGAACTCCAGTTCCAGGGAAATAGGAAGCCCTCTTCTGACCTCCGCAGCATTGCACGACATGGGTGCACTCATATACATGTAGGCAATACACTTGTACACATAAAAATAATAAAATATTTGCTGGGCAATATTTGCCGGGCGTGGTGGCACACACCTTTAATCCCAGCACTCAGGAGGCAGAGGCAGGCGGATATCTATGAGTTCAAGGCCACCCTGGTCTACATAGTGAGTTCCAGGACAGCTGGGGCTACAGAAAGACCCAAAAAAATTTTTTTTAATAAAAATAAAATGTATAGACTAGGCAAAGCCATATAGATAGAAATCCAACTGCCAGGAACTGGAGGAAGAGGGAAGGAACAGAAAATGACTATCAATGAGTACAAGGTCTATCTTAGGTGATAAAATTTTCTGAAAGCACAGGACTAGAGAGATGGATTAACAATTAAGAGTACTTGTTGCTCTTGCAGAGGGTACTAGTTTGGTTCCTAGTACCCATCCTAACTTACAACTGTCTGTAACTCCAGTTCCAGGGATGTGGTGCTCTCTTCTGGCCTTTTCAGGCATGAGGCACTACACATACATACATACGTACGTACGTACATACAGGCAAACACTCATACCCATAAAAATAAAATCATTTTAAAATTTTTTCTGAAAGTAGTGGTCATACTTGTACAACTTTGTGATATACTAAAGCTGTATATTTTTGTTTGTTTGTTTGTTTGCCAAGACAAATTGTTGTCCCAGCTGGCCTGGAACTCCTATGGAGACTAGACTAGCCTTGAACTCACAGAGATCCACCTGCCTCTGCCTCTGAGCACTGGGTCTAAAGGCATGCACCACCACACTCAGCTAGTTTTTCTTCATTTCTTAAACTTTTTAATACATTTATTTTATTACTTTGGGAGGGTGGGGTGGATACATCTGTGCCTAGGCATGCGTATGGATGTCAGAGGACAACTTTCAGAAGACAGTTCTCTCCTTCCTCTATGTGAGTCCTGAAGATCGAACTCAGGTCATCAGGCTTGGTAGCAAGTGCCTTTGCCTGTTGAGCTATCTACCGCCTGCCCCAAAGCTCCTAATACTTCAAAAATATTAATTCTGAGGCTGAAAAGATGGCTCAGAGGTTAAGAGCATTGGCTGCTCTTGCAGAGAACACGGGTTTGGTTCCCCACATGGTGGCTCACAATCATCTGTAATTCCAGTTCCAGGGGATCTGATGCCTTCTTCTGACTTTCATAGGCATTGAATGCACCTGGTACACGTAAATACATGCAGCATTTACTCATACACATAAAATAAATTTTCTTTTGGTCTTGTTGAAACAGTGTTCTCCTGTAGCCCCAACTCATCTGGATCTCGCTATGGAGTCCAGGCTGGCCTTGAACTCACAGAGATTCGCCTGCCTCTGCTGGGACTAAAGGCATGTGCCACTACACCTGGCTGCCAAGCATATTTGTAAAGCCATAGGAACAGTATTTCACAGCATCCTGCTGTGCAATCATGAGGACCAAAGTTTGGCTCCTAGCACCCATGTAACAAATCAGGTATCAAGCCCATGCCTACAACCCTGGCCCCAACTGGGGTAAAGGCAAGAGAATGGCTGGAGCTTGCTGGCATCAGCCTAGCCAAGAAAAGGAAGCCCCAGGTTTTAGGTGAAAAATGATAGAAAAGGGCTCTCAATACCCTCTGTGTATGTGCTCGGGTTCCCAGACCTGCATACATGCCTGCCCATACACAGAAACACATGCACAAAGAAGTGAATCATTTTTAAGTTACTTTGTAGTATGTCCTAAAATCAGTATTTGTTTTCTTCTTTCCTTTTTTCTTTTTTAGTGCTTGGGATTGAACCCAAGACATCAAACATGCTAAGTGATTTATCTTAGCTACAACCTAGCCCTTAGGTTGCTTTTGTTGTTTGTTTTTGAGATTAAGTCTTGCAATATAGACTTGAACTAGTTCCACATTCCTCTGTGTGTGTGTGTGTGTGTGTGTGTGTGTGTGTGTGTGTGTGTGTGTTTCTCTAGGCAGGGTTTCACTGTGTACCCTGGCCTAGAACTTACTGTGTGGACCAGCTGGCCTTCTGCCTTTGCCTCCAGTCCCAGGATCAAAGTGTGCACCACCATGTGCCTGGCTCCAGATTTTTCTAATGAAAATTTTTAAAGAAAACTTTTTTTCATTAAGCCTGGTGAACCAATGAGTCTACAGGGCTTCCTTAACAGAGACATAGGTGAGGAACCCATCTACAGGAACATGAGAGACATGGGCAGCAGCATCACAAAAGCCCACCCTAATGGGTGACAACTCACAAAAGCTCACCACTGGAGCTCTATACCCAACTTGAAGACAGCTCTGCTGAAGAATCTTCTCAGGTCAGCAATATAGATCTCCAGGGCCACTACTACCCAAAGAAGAAACTCCTCAAGAGTTTTTAGTGTGTATTCCACATCACAGAGAAAAGCAGGAGCCTACCAAAATAGTTGATCTTGACTGTCAACTTGACATGACCTAGGAAATAAGCTCTCTGCATATACCTGAGGTAATTCTCTAGATCAGGTTAGCCTCTGGGCATGTCTGCGAGTGATTATGCAGATCAGGTTAACTGAGGTAGGAAGATCCACCTTAACTGTGAGTGGTACCATTTCCTTGGGCTGGGTCCTGAGCTAAATAAAAAGAAAACCAAGTACTAGCAGCCGCTGCGCTCTGCTCCCTGACAGTAGACACGATATGGTGAGCTTCCTCCTGTTTCTGCTGCCAGTGCTTCCCCACCATGATGGACCCTAGCCTCAGACTGTGAGCCACAATAAGACCTTCAGTCTTTGCATGGCTGTCATCAACAGCAGCAAGGTAAATAACTAATGCACCTAAATGGGGGTTCTTAAACTTTTCCATACCATGAGATGCTTCCAGAGTTTGATTTTTTTTAAAAAAGACTTCAGATACCTTCTCTCCAAAATGCAAATATATGTCAAATGGAGCCTACAGTCTCTATTCATTTACTCCTCTGGTCTTTTCAGAAAGCATTCAGTTCTGCGTCTGCCCTAAGAACTCCTCAATTCTAACAGTTCTTTTTGTCATTGTTGTTGCTTGTTTTGTTTGGGTTTTTGAAACTGGGTCTTACTCTGTTCCCCTGGCTGGCCTCAAATTATCCTGCCTCAGCCTTCCCAGTCCTGAGATTACAGCTAATACTCCCAATTCAGCAGGGGACAGTGTAAGCATTAAATAAAATGATACAAAAGCCTTTGTACCTCATAACATCCCACAAAAGTCGAAGTCCCTAAATGTTTTCATATTGAACAAAGAAGCAATTATAAAAAAGAAAACTAAACTATATGTGTAGGCAAAAAGAAAGTAGTTATTTTATCGAAGCTTATCTGTACAGACTTTTCTCAGTCTCAACTCATTGTCCTTGAAAAGAACCATTCTTTCTGTAGGAAGTTTTATCTCCTGCTTTAAGGAAAAAAGTGAAACACTTTGATAGCCCTTCTGGCACTTACTCTTTTTAAATTGTTTCTAATTCAAAATAATCCTTATGACACTGTGATGTGAGTTGATGGCATATTCTGCCTTGTGTCACT